TACGCAAAGAGATAAAATATGACTTGTGAATAGCCCGTCCTCCCCGTCCCCCGCTCTTCCTTTACAGATAAACCAGACAAAGAGTAGGAGGGAACCTCGAGAAATATGATTGTCGCAGAAAAACAGCTGCCGATTCCAAGAAAGCAAGGCCCAACAAGATGCAGAAAAGGTAATAGTGGCGGCGCTGGAGAGCAAAAGCGAGCAATAAATTTTCTCGGCATTTCTCGAGGTGAAACTGCGTAAAGTGGACTAGTGCTCATTCATTCTAACCTCGCGCTTAAATAGTTCCCGCTATAAGAAAGTAATACACCAAATACGGAAATGAGCCTGTAAATCAACGAATCAAAAACAAAGGTGACGCAAATTTCCAGTGTGTTTATTCACAATTGAATGCTTGTGGAACAGTGTTAGAATAAGTCAAAAGTTATGCTGCTCCGACCAGGAAGCGAACTGTGCATTACACAAGCCGAAGATTCCCTCTTGTGCACAGATTGTGTGCCTCTTGCGCAAAGTCACAACCAGATATTGGGTGGTATGAATTCCACGTCAGTGCCGCCAAATATCAAATCAGAAAGGCTCTGACTTCCCTCTTTTGGTATCCTTAAGCTAGAGCACTGGAAAATGCATGAAAGGTCCTCACCCACAAAAGACGAGATAAAAGTGCTTAGTGCGGCGGGGCGGGCGATGCGGGAACCATTTCTGGACTGACTCACTGCAGTCATTATGTAACAGGTAGTTACGTGATGTGAATAATGAGAAAGACGTTACTGTGACCGCAAGAAAAAGTGAAATTTGCTAGATGCGCTCCGCCACCTGACAAACGATGCATGTGGCGTATCAGTGAATGGTCAACAGTATAAAAGAACGCGGCCACTCAGGAGGCCTGCGAGCAGCCTAATAAGTATGCGTGCTGGAGAAAGGCAGTGAAGGACAAAGCGCCTGCCACAGGGACGCTAGTTTGGCATGGATGCATTTTAGCCAAATCAAGGCCTCAAACTCGAAATACTAGTAATGTTGCCGATTTTGCTGATGAAAGGAAGTAACGCGCGAAAAAGTTCTACATATCGGTTAGCCACTTAACAAGTGGGAAGACAGGACTGAACAAAAGAAATAATGGATACCAGTTGTACTAGCGTCCACGGGTTTTCTTAATGAGGTTAACGTCTTCTTAATGAGGCTAACAAGTTTCAATTTCAGCTCTAACGCTCATATAAACAAAAGGAGCATCAAAGCTCCAGGCCTGTCACAAAAGTACATTCATAAATGCCTTCTCCTGGAGAATGACTCAAGTATTTTAACCCGTAAATTTAGTAAAACACTGCAGAAAAGGGTTCTGTCTTGCCCAGCTAACAAATTCGAAAAAATTTTGTTTGCACAGTGTCTTCAGTGCGCAGTATGCACAATGGGCTTTTCCGTTGCGCAGCTGTTCCAGCTAGCAAAAGGAAAGAAAGAAGAAAAAGACGTCGCCTGACAATTCACCATTTGTTATCAACGATTGTACCAGACGATTTAATTCTCGAAGAAAAAATTCTAGTTCAGTCAATCTAATTATAATAAACAGTATGAGTGCTCAGCTCTGATAATCGTTGCTTAATCAGCAGCACACAAAAATACAGCATGATTTTTCCACAAAAATGCTTCAGCAGTAAATTTATCCATACAGCAAACATTTGCAGAAATCGATGGGTTGGGTTTATCATTGTGGCCATATTCGCGACGTACCAGGCTTGCCTCTGTGAAGAAATCGCCTTTATCACTGGAATGTGACCGCGGTGTTGCAATCTGAACGTTTTGTGTGCCTATGTGCACAGCCCTTGCCTAGGCAGAAGGTGTCTTACGCTTGGTGAGC